TAACTGACACATACACAATGACACTCCAAAACAAATACAAACACCCAAAAATGACTCAAACGTGTGTTTCCATGGAGACGGGGTACTCACATGATGAGAGCCTCCCACTCGAAGAAGTTCTCCTCGTTCACTGGACCTGCACAGCAAACACAAACTCTTTAAATCTCGGGTGTCTGACTGTTGGAACAACACGCTGAACATCTGAAGACACATCTGCAGAAGCTACAGATGTGTTCTGGTGTCTCACCTGCCACGATGCCCTCAGGTGGGTTCAAGGTCAGCTCTGAAACACAAACACAGAAAGATGAGTGACCTTTGACCTCTGCTGTGATCCGGTCTCAGTCACATTTTTAAACAGCTGATAGATTGTTTGCTTTCCCATGTTGAAGAAATGATTAACATTTATTCATTTAAAAACAGCCTAAAGCAAGAAAGCAGTTATAAAAGACTTCCCAATTATCTTAAATACCAATCAGATTTACCACAATGATCTATGTCGAACTGTTTATCCATAACTGTAAATCTGCAAGTTCGAACACTTATACACAACATAATACAACTGTAATTACCCCTAACCTGTAAAGTTGCAATTGTTATACATAGCTCTACGTATACACCTTAATATATACTCTGTATATATTATCACTGTGACAGTGTTGCAACTACTTGCACTTTAAATTCTGTTTACACCCACATAAACTACAAGATTCACAAAGCACTGTTTGTGTGTTTTACTTTCTTTTAGGGAACGTGCAAACTAAGAACTTCATTGCTCTGCGTAACCATTTGTGTTTTGCGGTGTACATGACAATGAAGTTCTTGAATCTTGAATGAATCGACTAATCTATGCAGAATTCACATTATTACACAAGATTAAAGTGTAGCAGCCTGAAATGAGCGCATTAAATAAATGACAGGCCTAAATATGAATGTGTACCGAGGCTAATCCCCCAGTTCAAGTTCTTATCGTTAGCCCTCAGTGCACCAAACTACATTTAAAAACCTTCAAATTTATCACTTTCAGAAAAGGCAAATCAGCCGCCGTGTCAGTGCAGCGCTGAAGCCTCGCAGCGAGTTTTCCACCTGCGCTCTGTGTTCCTGTAACCAACAGATAAACATGATGTTCGCATTTTGTGTTCATTTAACATACTTCAGAAAAGTTTTGAAAGTTACATCACGGCAGCTATATGGAACATTCTGGATAACGCCACAAACACATTATATAAGCTCCAAATTATACCGCGGTTTAAACTGCAGGTGGACAAAGCCGACACCGGATTATTCACACTGTCCAGATATTCATCAGGTTATCGGTTTGAGTCGCAGGTACAGAAGAACAAACGCGGACAGCGAAGAAAAGCTCAAATCGACCGAACTTTTAACGAGTTTCGTACAGAGATACAGGCGCTAGCGGAGCTGTTAGCTTAGCATGCTAGCTAACATTAAAAGACCTCCCATTGGCTGAAAGCGGCTCGCGTTACTCACGTTTGTACTCGGCCATAAGTCTCTTGAGCGCTGTGCCAGCCATCGTGTTTACCGGAGAAAATAACAAACAAACAAATAAACAAAAGTGGCTCAGTTTCTCAGGTTCTCACAGAGCAACGGACCAACAGCTGATCCGACTGAGCATGCGCAAAACGTGTTTCAGTTTGCGTGTCAGCAGACAGCGCACCCTGTCGACAAAAATAAAAACAATTCATTTAAAAACAAATAAAAAATAATTAATGTTTAATAATTAAGCTCATTTGTTTAATTGTAAACTTAATTTTACTCAGGTAAATGTTTTTTGTGCCTTTAATAAATGTTATATAGTCTTTTTTATTCAATTTTGTCTTTATTTAATTTAATTTATGTATGTAATTGATTTCCTTACCTGGATGACTGAGAATCAAGATGTATGCATGTAATAATAAGTTACGGTCTAACTGTGCCACGGTCTAAATGTGCCACAGCAGATCTGTTTTGTTGTTGTTGTTGAATACTCAAATACATAATAAAATAAATAAATAAATTAAATTCAAGTCAACTTTATTTATACAACGCCAAATCACAACAACAGTCACCTCAGGGTGCTTTATATTGTAAGGTAGACCCTACAATAATACATACAGAGAAAAACCCAACAATCATATGACCCCCTATGAGCAGTGGGAAGGCCACGGTGGGAAGGAAAAACTCCCTTTTAACAGGAAGAAACCTCCCAGGCTCAGGGAGGGGCGGGGCCATCTGGACCCACTGGTTGTGGTGAGAGAAGGATGACAGAATGGTGTGAAAGAGAGATTAATAACAAGTGTGATTTAGTGCAGAGAGGTCTGTTAACACATAGTGAGTGAAGAAGTGTCTGACAGCGAATGACTGCCTGGAAATAGTGCCACATGTGAAAAGTGGCACTATTTAATAGTGCCAAGTATGTAAAACTGGTGGTGGTCAGAGGGCCCGGTGGCGCCAGTGTCCGGCAGCCTCGCTTCTGTCAGTGCGCCCCAAGGCAGCTGTGGCTACAATGTAGCTGCCATCACCAGTGTGTGAATGTGTGGATGACTGGACGTGTAAAGCGCTTTGGGGTCCTTAGGGACTGAGTAAAGCGCTATACAAATGCAGGCCATTTACCATTTACCAAAAGTGATGATTTCCTGTTTTTCTCTTTTTACTTGTAATGACTCATTGGTCTGTGTGACCTTTGACCTAAGAGTGCAGTTTCCAGACTGTTTTTAAAATATTCAAACTACAATCGGCAGTCAGAACTCAACTTTGTTACTTTATACAGTGAGAAAGTTCTGTGGCCTGAATATTGAACTGCTGGATTTTGCCTATATTATCTGCCGAGGGATGTTTTTATCTGTTATTGTTGTTGCTGTGTGCAAATGCTGCAACTGCACACAGCTGCCACATCAGAACGTGCTGCAGTAAGTTCCTCTTTATCAGGAAGTCTAGTTCAAGGCCCTCTGCTGCCTCCCCCCAACAAGATGTAGATGAACTAAAGAGCATAAAAAGAAAATGAATGTTGATTACACAACAAATATTTATGACCTTTTCCTTTTCTCTGATTATGTTTTTTTTGGGTGAACAGTCCTGCTTTTCTTATGCAGCCCTACTGAGCTTCCAATCATGAGGCTTGACTCACACTGACTGTTTTATTGTTACAGTTTAAAACTCCTCAAGGTGAATGTTGTTGCGATTTGGGGCTACGTAAATAAAGCAGAATGGAATTGAAATCAGTAAACATGATAATGTTCTGAAACAATTGCATTATCAAACAGATCTGTTATACGCTGCTTGACGATAAGTCTAAATTAATCTAATTCTAAAGGAGGTCTGATCCTAATCACTGATCTGAGGGTCTCTATGGTTTACAGACAAACAGCAGCAGCTTTGTGTCTCAGCAGCTGCATCTTGACAGCGTGTTTGGGGACCTCAAATTAAAATGTAATGATGTAATAATATCAACAGTTAAACAATCATTTTTGGCATCAAATATGAATTATAGTCTTTAAAGAATCAGCATTAAACTCATCAGTATTTAAAATATCGCTGTTAAATTATATAGTCAATATTGTAGTCATCAGTGTTCAAAATTAACATTAAATCACTGAATGCTGATAACACGAATGTTAAAGTATTAAAAAGTAAATCATTAAATGT